GGAGACACTAAACATAAAGTGAAGTAGGATTCATTGTTAAAAACGAGAATAGTTCTGCTGGAAAGTTCATTTTTGTTGTCGTTACATCAAACGCAGTTGTCTCCCCCACCACAGATTTATTTATTTTTTGCTCTGCGGTGCATAGAGCACATTTCATATTTTTGGGTGGATTCCATTTTTATATGCTTGGAGCAGTTTTTAAAAGTTAGTGCATTTTAAAATTCAAGATGCAGTCGATTTAAATTTCCTTATTCAAACCTGATTGTTTTGTTGGTCCTTTTTTATGACCCTTTGCCCAAATTTTTTTTAATCCCAATTTTTAAAATCATGTTTTGAAAAAATGCAAATGCTGTAGTATGTTCATATACAAATGTAATATTAATAAAACACATTTATCATTTTAGATAAAAATTAATCAAACTTGTCTTTCTTTGGATAGCAATCGTATGCATACACCAATTCATTTGTCAATATAAAGAAGTCTTGCAGCCGGATGGGATACATTGTGGTGACCTTAGACAATTCTTTTTAAACATTTTTTTTTTTAATTTTCTACATGAAAGTTAGATGACAGAAATGCAAAATATTTTAATTAATCAGCCTTTGGCTTGAAGACACTTTTTAAGAAATGTATTCATTTCACTTTGGTTGACAAAATGACACCCTGTGTAAGTTGCAGCAAAGTACAAATGTGAAATACAATGTTCACACAGATTCCCTGGAAAATTATGTTTAACGGTGTAAAAGCTTCCATGAAAAAAAGTATATGTTGTATTGAAATTAATTACATTTAATTAGAGAGACACTGCTTTGAGTTTGAATAGAACAAAGTGTAATTTCAATCAAAAAAGAGCGGCAGAAAAATGGAAGGCATTTACAGTGACTTGTGCGTGTGTGTGTGTGCTCACTTCTTTGAGTTAGAAGGCCATTAATGTTTGGCTGACTCACCTTGTCATTTTGCAACATCAGTCTTCTCTGCTTGTTGTTGTTTTTTTTTTTTTTTTTTTTTTTTTTAATTAGAATGTAGCTGTTTTTGCATGCCGCTTGTATTTATTGGCAGCCTGTAAATAAACAGCTCAAACATTCTAAATGATCATCTCCGTCACCGACTGCGTGTCTCTCTCATTCACCGTCTGTGCCACCCGTTGTCCCACCCCTCCCAGTCATGTGCCGGTTGTCGTGCCGACTTCGGCAGTATCGCCGTGGCGACAGAGACAGGAGCAGATGTGACTCTGGTTGCGGGGCATTTGGCAGCAGCACTCATCGTCACAATGACGGAGATGCGGCTGGACGGCACATCATCTGTAGCATCGCAAGGGTGGGGAGGGGGGGTGAGTGTGGATAGTTGAGGCGTGGATTGGCATTGGGTGAACTCCCCTCGCCCACCAGTGCGCACACACTCTCGCAGTGTGACCCTACACACCCTAGAGGAACTGCAAGTGCACAGCCAGTAACCAGACAAGATGGGGGTTGGGTGGTGTGTGTGTGTGTGTGTGTGTGTGTGTGTGTGTGTGTGTGTGTGGGTGTGTGTGGGTGTGGGTGTGTGTGGGCGCGATCTAACCAGGCAGCAAAAAGTGCCGTCAAACATACAAGATGCTTTTATTCCTCTCTCACTTCATCTCGCTGCTTTTTATTTCTTGAGGTATTTTTTGCTATTTCAGTCCCTCTGTCTGCTAAGTTGGAGACAAATGGCGGTTTGGGGGCTAAATGTTTGAACTTGAGCAAGGAGACCCAAATTGACACACTTAAGGAAAACTGAGTCCCGAGGACAACGGAGAGAGAGAGTGAGAGAGAGCGATGAGAAGAGGGATTACAGATGGAGGCCTTACTCAAGACATCTGTAATGTGTACAGTAACACCACACAAAGAAAACAAAGTGGCCAGCGGACATGAACTGCTGCCCTGTCTGTTTTCCTCTACAAAACCTGTTCTCTCTTTGTCCAGCTGTATCTCAGACTTTGGAAAGACTATGAATATTAGCACATCGTTAAAAGAAATGATACACGTTTAATATCGAGTTCCAAAGTTGGATTTTGTTATCAAACAATTTAAGTATGTAGTGGCCAGAAAGCTAAATCCAGTTTTGTAAAATGAATTTCATGTCCATTTTGTGTGTGTGTGTGTGTGTGTGTGTGTGTGTGTGTAAGAGTGTGCCTGTCAGGGGTGTGCACTACGATGGTTTGGCAGCAGTCTGACATTTCCTGCTCTGACATCTTGTCTCAGTTCATCTCCCGTACCACTGGACGGACGGAAGCCCTGAAGGGACACCCCAGCACCAGCTACGCAAACTTGTCTTTTTGTCAGCACCAGTGAGGAGCTGCAGTACATTAGTCACACACACACACACAGACACACAATCTTAATGTTTTTTTTTTTTCTCCCCACCAGACTCCTTTTGGATCTGACGGCCTTAATGAAGTGAACATTAGAGCCTTACATTTGTGGTTATATCGAGCTGTAAATATTAGTGAACCGGTCACAAATAGATTTCCTATTTGTGTTTGCTTATCCTTCCTTTTAATTCAATATAAAAACACCTCCATAGGATTTCACACACATTCTGGGCTGTTTCTTTTGCTCAAGCTACTTGATGGTACAAAGTAGCCAATAGCAGATTCAGTGGGATTGAACTCTGCCCTCCACTTATGCGATCTCATCCCAGTAGATCCAGCAGAAAAGTTCTTGCTGAAAGAGATGAACGAGGTGTGTAAAATTGGGGATATTCTTCTTGTCACTTTGCCAGTCCCTTAGTGGAAGGACACCAAGGTGGTATTGATATTTTGATCAATGAACTCCACACCTTCCGTTTTCCCTCTGGGTCTTTCTCTTTCAGACTTTGTTGTCTTGGCCTTAACCGGCTGTTTTAGGATGTTGGTCTGTTTCTGCAGTTTCAGTGCTAAGTGTTTGTGATGAAAATTGTCAGGCCTTAGACTACAGTTGCAGGTACGAGATTTACCTCAGTCTCGATCCTAGCCATTCTCACTTTGTCTATTGGTGCATCGTAGTGGTGCTCTTTGATTCAAGTACGTCGGCCATTGCCTGTTACAGGGATGCATTTATAATGCAGGATATTATGAAGTTCTGCTATTACAAAGGCTAATGCTTGGTTGGTTGTTTTAGAATGTAGGTGCAGCTGTTTCCAAGTGGTTAAGATCGCGGCCTGCCACCGTGGGTGCCGCGGTTCGAAACCATCCACCCCCAACATGCCACTGGAGACACGGCTCTGGTTTTCTTGAGCAAGAAACAGATTCACCAGACGCTGCAGTAGCGCCCTGCTCCAATGTTTGCCACTAAGTAACTCTTTTTAGTGTATTTTAGTATTTAGGCCTTAGTCTGGTATTCCAGAATTGGAACGACAGCCTTTGTTTTTTGTTCCAGAGACAAGGCTGATTGTGTTTTCTCCAGTCACCCATCCTTTTTTTTTTTTTTCCTTGAGTACCGTATTTTCCAGTGCACCTTCACTGAATGGCCTATTTTGTAATTGTTTTCATACAATGGGCGCACCGCATTATAAGGTGCAATCTACAATGCATCCACTAGATGGTGCTACACTCAAGGAAATGCAAACAGAACGATCAGATGTCAGTAAAACTTTTTTTAATAAAGCAGCCACACAGTTCACTTAACCAACAGCAAGTTCTAACATTGACTCGTTAACGTTGAACTCTCTTGCCGCTGCTCTATCTCCGTGTTCACCTGCGTAACCGATCGCCTTATGCCATCACCTGCATAAGTGCCATCTTCCAGACCTAGTTTCTCTTTGTTGCCAGCATCAGGGTCAGAATCATCTTACTACGCTTGCCATCCTTATATTCCTGTTGTTGCCCAAGACTCTTTCTGTCAGTCTTCTCTCTTTTTCTCCCGAGTCTCCGACAACCTTTACGAGGCTCGGGAGAGCTGTGACATCCCTAAATGAAAAGGCTCTCTTTGCAGCACTGCAACAGCTGACGATTTATGACAAGAAGGCCTCGCCGGAATCTCAGCTGCTGTCAGACAGCATAATGATGTTTTGATATAAAGATGATTGGTGGGGCTGCATGTGCCGTGCCGTGCACATGCCTGTGTGTGTGTGTGTGTGTGTGTGTGTGTGTGTGTGTGTGTGTGTGTGTGTGTGTGTGTGTGTGTGAATGAATGTGATCCGTTTTTTTAAGGTGAACGTTTCTGAATTTTTTTTTTATTTTGGTTGTTGTGTATTTGTGAAGCTGTTTTGTTTGCTAACTTTTTTTTTGTTTTGTTTCGATCTGTTGTTTTAACTTTTAAAGTCTCCTCTTCCCCTAACTTTTGGAGTTGATCTTTACGCTCATGTTTTTTTTTCTGTGATTATCTCAATTTTACGTCGTCTAACTGTGCCGCTTCATTGCCTCTCGGCTCCTTTAGTTTTCCTTCTTTTACTCTGAAAGTCTGGCAGCGCACATACTCACACCCCACCCCCCCTGTCACTGGCGACAGGCGTACAGTTCTCTATAGTTTCTATTAGAGGACCATTGCATGCTTGAGGGCCCCCGCAGATTGGTTACATTTTGTTCGGCAAGGCATTAGCGGGCCCCGTCGAAGGGCCCCATCATCATCAGTGTGTCTGCCATCTTCAGGCGGTGATCTATGATTCGCCCATCAGACGTACATAAATCAGACAGCTAAAAGGATTTCTTCTCTATCCCCCAAACCCCCCTCCATTTAAATTTATGCCGCCATAAAAGAAAGGAAAATTAGTCATTGAGGAGCACCCCCCAACCCGTCTTTCTCTATCTTCTTCCTCTCTCTCTCTCTCTTTCTCTCTCTCTGCACGCAGTCTGTGGTAGTAAAATGGAGGAACGACGGGAGGAACATTCACGTGTGGCGCCCATCATCCTCTCCTCCCCCTTTTCATCTCCCCTCTCTCTAATATCATCATTATCAGAATCATAAAGCGAAAAATAACATGCCAGAGACATTGGGAGAGCGAGGCTTGCGTTGCCTTTGACCACTCATCCCGCTTTCTTCTTTTTTTTTTTCTCTCTCAGGTCACCGCCACTCTGCTTCTTGCAACTCGCTCCTTGCACCACTTGAGCAGAAGAGGTCAGTAATTATCCCAAAGTGTGTATGTCGTCGTCGAATCGCATGTGAGATCTCAAACATCCCATTTGCGCCATGCATGCCGCCTGCCTGGCCAGTGGGTTTGTCTCCCGCGATTGAATGCAAATCAGCGAGGTGCCCAAGTGGAACAACTTTCACATGCTATTGCTGCTCCGTTCGCCCCCTGCCCCCTCCCATCTCCCAGAATTCTGTGCAGTAAGGCAGACAGGTTAGGAGTGAGTGCAGTGTGTTGTTGTGGGTGAATGGTTTTGTTATTGGTCCACAATCTACTCAATAACTTCCAGCATTCCTACTGTCCATCACCATGGCCTGTGTGTATGATTGCGTGTGTGTGTGTGTGTGTGTGTGTGTGTGTGTGTGTGTGTGTGTGTGTGTGTGTGTACTAACAGCTTCTGTTGGTCATGTAAGTGCTCTAGTGCACAAAATGTGAGTGACACAACTTTATCAATCAAATCAGTCAAAAAGGGCTTAACAGTTCAAGCTGAAGTTTAACTACCAAGACATTCAGACAATTGTAAGCTTATGGGAATTGTTTGGGGAAGGCATTTTACTGTTCCCACCCAGTATGCTAAGCAAGGTCCATTAAGGCACGCTTAGATGAGTTTGGTGTCAGAGAGTTTGAGAGGCCTGATCTCAACTCAATGAAGCACTTTTGGGATGTGTGCCAGGCTCTAATGCCGAATATCGTATATAGTCTTCCCGGAAGAGTGGAAGTTGTAATCTTGTTCGCTGCAAAACTGCGATTAGCTGGCGACCAGTTCAGGGTGTGCCCCACCTATTGCCAGAAGACACCTGGGATAGGCGCCAGCAAGCCCGTGACCCGAGTGAGTCTGAGCAGTTCGGACAAAGGATGGATGGACTTAGTGCAGGACTCGAAATACTTTGTAAGCGGATTTGCAACACAAGGCAAAATTGGCATCTTGTGCCTCATCAAAACACATTGAAGTGCAAAACTGAAATTAAAACCAGTGATTGTAGAAAAAAAGTAAAAAAAAAACATTGTTAATTTGTTATTCCACAAAATGAGTCATGTGCCCCACAAATAAAGTAATTGATTTACAATTTCGCTCAAAAAAAAAAAAAAAGTTTGCGCTTTGTCGTGACATCTTTTCAATGTGTCCTCACAAGAATTAAGTTCTATATAAATAAATAAATAAATCTCTAAAATCATATCGGTGAATTTGTGTTCATTCTTGGAGTTTAATGACAAAAGATTTTTTGCATTTGACCACAATGTGGTGAAAGTCCAATCAAAATCGATGAATTGATGACATCATTGTCATTTGTCAGCACAAACGTACGAAGACTGTCACCTGGTTGGTCGGCATTTCGCTGCTCCACGGAGCACTCGCCCAGCAAAAGTCCACTATACATTGGTCGATGAGATGCCAAAACCACGTGATTAGACGTTAGTTGCCTTCAAGTGTCAAATGTTGAAACAGAAAAACAAACACCACAAGTGTCCATACATATATATTTTAGTTTTATTTAGGTATGTTTTTGTGTTCAGTGAAATCCATAACTACACGGTCAAAAAGCTCTACTGGTGCAAATTTGTCTGTCTGGCTTCAATGAACAATTTTCATACATTATATATCCTTGAAAAGTCGACGCCAAAGCACACAAAAGAAAATATTCCAACAGTTAACCTTCCTCGGAAATAAAACCTCCTAAATGTGTTCATTGTCATTATCGGTGACTGTGTGTGTTGCAAACATCAACAGATTCCCTGCAGGATCCAAATAGCTTAATAAGCTGCCAGTTGGGCCACAGTCAACTGGCTGGATCAGCATCCATCCACACACACACACACACACACACACACACACACACAATGCTGTCATTTTCTAAAGCCTATTACATCGGTGAATTACTCCCCCACTGGCTGGTTATATGATTCTGTGTCATGTCTGCGCGCATGTTGGGATGTTCGGCCTCCGGGGGGAAACAAAGATGCTTGAATACAGTTGAGTAAATAATATGGGTTGCAGTTATGGGGTAGATTGTAAAATGGAGTCTTATTTGTTTTGATTAAAGAATCAATAGTAATATGAGTCGTTAGCGAAAGAGGATAAGGTGAGCATCTTTTCCTTCTTACTGTGTTAAAAAAACCCCCCAAAAAAAACCCACCAGTATATTAACTCACATCATGTCTACGTGGAAACAAAGTACGCCCTGTCAGTTTTTGTTACCTGCGACTCAAGAGAGCAATGATAACTTAGGTTCCGGCTTCATGAATCAAGTCGAGTGAGAGGGAAACGGAAAAAAAAAAAAAATCAGTTCTTTTTGCAGCGCTTGCAGTAATCCTGTCTTTGTATGACACTAATCATATGTAAATCCGCGTTGTAAAGTGATTTGGTTTTTCACTCGTGTTTGAAATAATTATACAAGCAGCGCTCAAAGAGCAAAAAGCCTCTTCAGCTTCAAGTATACTGGCAGGTGACTTAATCCAGCCAGGCCTGCTTGTTTACAGACAACACGAGCATTAAGCCATTGTCACTGTCGCACACACTTAGTGTTCATTTGACTCGATCATCTTGGAGAAGGTTACTTCTTTGCAGAATACTGATTACCTGCTTAATACCACCGTATTTAAACTTCAGATTAGTTTACCTCCGGAGAGAACTATTCTTTCGTCTAATACATGCAAGTTATGTTGCAATGGCTGCTGTTGATGAGTCCACCAAAGTTCGAATGTCACCGCTGTCAGGCAGAAACATTGAATGCCCAAATATGGTCAACGTATTTATTTATTTTTTTCAAATCAAAAGTATTGGTCTGTCCCCATGTCGTCGAAAATAGTTTGAGAACAAATGTGTCAACGCTCTCTGAGTCTGGGAGGTGTTGTAAAACTCTGCCCCTTCCCTCACTCTTCAGGTGTGTTGCCGCATTATGTCGCCTCAAGATTTGTTTAAGTTGGTATGTTATTTAGTCATTGACAAGTGAAAATAGTTTCGTTGTATCCAATTGAGTAAGCCTGTTTTGTTGAATTGGACAGTATAGTCCAAAAATGGAGCAGCAGTCAGCCACGACGATAAGTTTTGTGTGTTGATTCATTTCTACCCATTACACGGCCCAGTAATCACTTTATTTATTGTAACGCCCAGTATAAGACCACCTTAACTTTCATTCGAAGTAAAGGCTATCAAGTCAATGTTTTGAATTCTGAAGTTATTGTAGACGCAGACAAAAGACAATGCGGGATAACATCTCTCTCTCTCTCTCTCTCTCTCTCTCTCTCTCTCTTTCTCTTTCTCTCTCACACACACATAACCAACACACACACTCCCAGGGTGTGGCTATTATTTACCTGTGAGAAAATGGCTCATCTTGCCCACAGCTGTGAGGCCAAAGAGAGGTGAGACCTCACCCCCTCTTTCCTTCTTTTATCTTCCTTCTTTTCTTTCCCTCACCCCTTCTCCCCGCGGTGTGTTTAAGTGTTTATATGTGTGTGTTTGCTCTGCAAGCCAACAAGGGCCCTAACCTGCGACCCAGAGTGCATGGCACGCAGAAATGACTCCCAATCTTCGCTGTGTGGCGCGACTAAAAAGGTTTTGTCTTTTACAACTTAGTTCAAGGAGATTTTCACTCCTGTGATGGTCAAAAAAACCAAGCGGCGCAGTTTGGCGAGTGTGCGCGCATGTGCTGAAAGTTGTTCTTCCGTCGTTCAAGCTCACAAACGGATATTTAACAGAGACTTTCCGCACTTCACTTTTCAGCCAGGTACATATGAAATGAGAAAGTACTTTTGTAAATGACAATGTACTGTTTACTTAGGGTACAGTATGAGTGCGAATTTTTGTTGTGAAAGCTCCTGTGATATGACATTTTGGATCGTCCGTTACAATTGCCTCACCGCAACATTATTCTGCTGTGATTTAAATTTCGAATTGCGACACGGCCGGCCATTCATGAAAACTACTTGCAGAATCCTGCACACTATGAAACAGTTTAATGGCGTTCAGCCATGATCCCTGGTCTCTGGCAGACCTTCGGTTTACGCACATGCGTTAGTTAAATGTTACTTATATGAGACATTTTGCAATAATTGCGACACGGCCGGCCATTCATGAAAACTACTTGCAGAATCCTGCACACTATGAAGCAGTTTAATGGCGTTCATCCATGATCCCTGGTCTCTTCTCTGGCAGACGTTCGGTTTACGCACATGCGTTAGTTAAATGTTACTTATATGAGACATTTTGCAATTTTTTTCCCTCCTAAATTCCAACACGTCTACTTTAAAAAGTCTCTGACGTTGCGCCTCCCGAGGCCATGTGTTCTGCATGATGGCCCGCCGGGGACGTGAGAATTTAAAAAAAAAAAAAAAAAATTTAATACTGTTAACCCTTTCAAGGATATGACGTCAGATGTTTGTCTCACTTTTTGATTATAAATCACAAACACGACCACCGTGGGCTGTAGCTGACGAAAAAACTGTCCTCTTCAACATCCGCTCACTCCACGGCTGTCGCCGTGAGTCACAGGATGCATCCAAAAACACTCGGAAGCAGCAGTAACTCACAGAACTCTATTCGTTTACAATGAAAGATCCAGCTGCCACTGAAACACTCGACTGCTCTTTATTTTTCGTTCGCATTCCCCACAACAATGGCATTCACTTTACTTATGTTCCCCAAGCCAAGTCCAAACACTCTGACTTACCCTGTCCCATTTTACCATTTACTCTTTTGAAATCCGTCTTTGTCTTTGACAAATTCAAATCTTTTCTGCTTCGATAGAAGAGCTATTGTGTGCGCTAACAGATGCATTCCAATACTGCTTCGCTGTGTCTCTTCATGAAAGGAAGGGGAGGAAAAAAAAAAAAGAAGTCATGTCTTGTCCTCCACATGTCTGCTCTCTTTTTAGAGCTACCGAGGTCCTGGCCCCATTACACTGATTTACACACACACTCTCCCGTTCTGTCGTGCTCGGTGTGTGTCGCTGCCAGTTAATAGCCCAATGCAGATGAGCACTTTTGC